TGGATTCATTGCTTCAGGTATATTGTCCACAAACAAAGTGAAAATTCTTCCTTCATTTCCTGCTCCTTGGTGCCTTGATCTTCCTCTGTGCCTCGGGATTGGGATCCCCCCACCTTGCTCAATACCCATTTTAACTTTCTCTTGTAGTTTAGATTAATTTCAACATATCATTGACGTATAATTAATTTAACGGTGATGTTATATATACCAATTAGTATATTAACTAGTGTATTAATTAGTATTATGTCATTATTACTGACTTTTTCTATTATACAAATTACAAATACCTAAAACTTTTAAAATTATGCTATATCATTTGTTAGTATACTAGTTAGTACACTAACATTATTCTTAATTTAAACAAAATGTTAACTATTCATTTGGGAAGTGTATATTTTAACTTAAAAATAAAAAAGACATTAAAAAAGTCAAAAACTAATAAATTATATAAAAAAGTCAAAATTCTATTTTCTCTCTACTTTTTGTATTTTTTTTTCATAAAAAGTTAAAAGTTATCCCAAACGTGTTAATTTTTTGGATAAATTACACTAATACCATCTAAAGTTTTTGTTTAATGTAGATCCTCCACACTTATCCCTTGTCAGATTAAAATGACATATTTGCCCTTAGTCTACATACATATAAAATAATAAAATAATACAAATATTTTGTTAATGTCATTTCAAATGAAATAACAATCCTCTTATTTGGTTTAGCTCACACATTTTTTTTTTGAGTTTTTATTTTTATTTTTACTGATTTTTTTTTAAATATTTTAAGCAATTTTTATTTTTTATTTTTTAGATACACCTTGTTAGGTTTTTATTCCTGACAATCCTGTTTGACAAAACTCCTTCAGTTGTACTTGTTTTCGCATTTTTATTTTAGTGAGGCTATGAGTTTATTAGATGCGAATCCAATCCAAATCGTATCTTGCAGAGAAGTTTGTGGTGTTTAATTCTTTCAAGATTGCCACTTCGCTGACTATGACGGGGATTGAGTTGCTCGATCAGCTCGCGGGGGTCTAGAGGGCAACGCCCAAGCGAGGTCGAGGGGCAGCGCCCCCGAAGCAAAATGGAAAATTACCTTCGAAGTTTCTTGTTTGCTCGAGCGGAGATTCCCCGCTCGAGCGGAGAATCCTTGGTTCTAGAAGTTTGATCGCCTACAAAAATACTACGATATGTTTTTTCCTGCTCGAGCGGAATTTTTTGGGCTCGAGCGTCGGTCCGCTCGAGTCGTGAGACAGTTTTCTATAAATATGTGTTTCAGTCCAAATCTAGGGCAACGCCTCCAGATCTTTTTCTTGGGTTCTAGGGTTTATATCTGGGGCTATTTTGCTAGTTTTCTTTGATATTTCATTGAGTATTCAACTCATGGTTTAAGAAGGATACATCAAAGGATTGTTTGTTTATTCCATACAAAAGAGAGAGTTGTTCTTCGGTGGATTCTGAAGAATTCGAGCCTGAAGCTTTGGTGGATTCTAGAGTGGCTCATAATCAAGACAATTCTGAGGTGAAGACGGGGCTGGAAGGGGCACATAGGGGTTGGTTCAATTCGGCCGTGGATTCGTTAGGTAATTGAGAGTATACCTGTGTAATTCCTTTATGTCTTTTTAGTGGATTGTTTTGTGGCTTTTGCCCGTGGTTTTTTATCACAATTGGAGGTGTCCAATTGTGATTTTTTCACGTAAAATCATTGTGTTGATTTGCCTTGATTGTTTGATTGGGATTGTTATATACTGCTTAAAATTGATACATAATCACAAATCAACATCTAGGGGATTTCTAGATTTTTCACACCTAATATAGATATACTTAAGAAATAATATTTTGTGATTTTTTTTAATTCACCAAATACAAAAATTCAATACATTATTTTGTTTTGTTGTATTCAATGATCTTTTAAAAAAAAAGTTTGTATCAATTTTATACTTTTTAAATATATCTGAATTAAATTGATCTAATTTAGATATAATGGTAGAAATAAAAATGAAAAATTATATCAAAATTTTATACAAAAAATATCATAAAAATGTTATGATAGTGAAACTGTTGTAAATATAAATCATGTTTATAAGGGTCTGTTTGGTAACGTTTACGTTTTCAGTTTGTGGTAGCAGGTGGGTGGCGGATGGCGAGGGGTGGTGGGTGGTGGGGGGTGGGTGGTGGGTGGTGGTGGCGGAAGACGGTGGTGGAAAATGGTGGCAAGTGGTGGTTAGTGTTGGGTGGTAAAAAAAAAACTGAAAACTCAAAACAAAAACACCTTTTTTGAGTTTACATTTTTTGGCCAAATTTATAAACTGAGACCACTGATTTACAAATTAAAAATTTTACCAAACAAGTTTTTATTTGAGTTTTTTAAATTTTTGTAAATATAAACAGAAAACTGAAAACGTAAGTGTTACCAAACGGCACCTAAGTGTTTTGTTTTAAAGTGAAAGGTCATCATTAAGCCATATCATTGTGTTTGAAAATTCTATATAAAATTTATGTTTGTATATCATCACTCAATAAGAATATGTTCGGGTAGAATTTAATGATAGAAAATTGTAGATTGTAATCATGATGATAGAAAAAAGAAATGGTAGGAAAATGAGAAAATTTGTCATTTAGAAAATTTTAAGACATGATATTAGCAATTCATGGGGTAATTTCTAATGAGATTACAAATCTCAGGGAGGAGAATGTAATTTTTCAAATGTCAGGAGTGGATTTATATTAAATAGAAATCTCAGAGAGTGCCAATGTAATTTACCCTAATTTTTTTTCAAAATGCTAAAGATTTCGAAAGTTTTACCAAAAATATTTCATATAAGTATGAGACTCACGCCATATAGGTCCTATGTGGGTTCTATACCCATGTAATACATTTGATAAAACTTTTAAAATTTTTAGTATTACTCATTTTTTTCTAATCTCATATTTTTGACCAAAAAATCTAAAAATTACTAAAATAGTGCGTTCTCATATGAGTTACACTCCGGCTAGGAGGAATAGCTGAAAAATGTACGTAGCACTAGCTAGATATCTTAAATTAGTCCACCAAGTCATCAACCGAGGTGTTTGCAACAGCAGGCATAAACCAAAACGATCATGCTACGTAGCTCGAATGCCACGGCTCGAAACGCGGCTCGACACCAAAACGACGTCGTTTTGGTGTTGATTTTGTTTTTGTTTTTGTTTTGTTTTTTTTTGCAGAAGAAGAAGAAGAAGAAGAAGGGAGGAGGAAGGGGAGGAGGAGGAGGAGGAGGAGGAGGGAGGGGAGGGGGCCATAAAAACCGGTTTGAGGAGGAGGGGAGGCTGGGCTGCGACGGAGGAGGAAGTAGCAGCGGCGGCCGGAGCTGCGACGACGGCGGGGCGGGACTGCGACGACGCCGACCTTCTTCCTCTCCCTCCCTTCTCTTTCTCTCCCTCTCCCTCTCCCTCTCCCTCTCTTCCTCTCGAGCCATTTCGAGCCTGGTAGCTTCGAGCTACCAGGCATTTTCCAAACCAAAAAGTGAATCTGTGAGCCATGGAGTGTAAACCAACCACCACAAAATCAAGCTAGCAAGCAAACATATTTGAGGCACGAACAAGTGATTTTAAAATGAAGCACAAACTAATACACTGAGCAAAGCAAAGCTACAAACGACTTCCATGCATCTCCTATCGGTTTTCAAACTACACCAGAAAGGATATAATATAAATAACTTTTTTTATTTTATTATTTGTTGCTTTCCTGTTTGATTAGGAATCAATTTGGGTAAATTCATTTGATTCTCGTAATCTAGTTAAGTTGTTTCCTCCATAGGGTGGGAGTGCTGGGTGAGGATGTTTCAAATCTGTGTATTTTCTGCAAATCAGAGGCAGAATCTGTTTCACATGTTCTTATTTCCTGCCTCTGATTTGGAAGGTGTGGTCTGGATTAGTGCAGTGGTGGGGTTTGGTCTGGGTAGTGCCTGCTTCTATTGAATGTTTGCTGCATTGGTGGGCGGGCAACAGTCTCATGAAAGCTGAGAGGAGGATATGGAATGCCATTGCTCTGGTTGCCCTTTGGTCCATTTGGAAGCATCAGAATGATTGCTTGTTCAATAGAGTTCAACCAGCTATGGAGGAGTTGCAGGAGTCAATCATTATCGGGTTAGCTATTTGGCTGATGGCTTCTTCTAAGGACTGCCAGTTTTCTATAAATGATTTCTTTATAACATAAAGCAGATTAGAACTTGTTTGGGAGGTCGGGTTTGATGTGATGCACAAGGTTAATCATCAGGTTAAGTGTTTTGGTTGCAGTAGCAGTGCAATGGTTTATAATCTGATTTCTCCTGGTGAGCAGCAGTAGCAGGTGTTGGTCTGGATTCTGTGTTTGGGAGTGCTCGTTGGTTTCTGTGTACATGGCTGAGGGTGATCTGTGCAGGGTTGCTGAGATGTGGTCCTTTGGCTGCTCTGTTTGGTCTGCTTAACTCTGCTTCTGGTTGGTCCCAGTTGTGGCTGGCTGTTGGTCTAGTATGCTCGGCAGTGAGCTTGTGCTATCTGTTGCTGTTATGCTGCGTTGGTCTGTTCGAAGCCGGTTGTCTTTTGGTTGGGTGTCTTCTGGTTTTTCTGTTACAAGCCGTCTGAGATTCTGTTGCATGCTGGTTTTCCATTGCAAGCTGTATGAGATTCAGTTACAGGGTTTTGTAGGATTGGAGTGATTGCAATGGTTGCAACCTGAGGTCTGCTGTAGTGTGCCTGTAGCTTTTGTGGTTGCTTAGTTTGCTCGGTTTTGTCGATCCTGGTTTTTTGCTTTGTTTTGTTGGTCTCTTACCAACTAGGAGGTTGGAGCTTTGTTCTACCTCCAAGCTCCTCTTTATTGATATATCTTCTCATACTTCGTATGTTTTTCATCAATAAAATCTTCCTTTTGCCGTTCAAAAAAAAAAAAAAAGAAGTTTTGTAGTTTAGTAAAATTCAATTTACAAAAAACAAAAAACAAAAAAACAAAAACAAAACAAAGTAAATCGAAAATTATTTTTTTGATCAACAAAGAAGAATGGAAACTTTATATTGATGAAAAACAAACAAATACAAACATCAACTTATATCAATAAAGGAGGGAAGTGCAAAAAGTATCATAGCTATCACTCTACAATCCCAACTAGGTTGTAACTTCTTGTGATTTATTCTTTTATGTCTATAGCAAAACAGAATGAAAAGGCATCATACAAGACAATGTTTGCGCATGGATAGACGCGGCTTACAAATGGCCTCCAAGGGCTTCAACTTTGGCATGGTGATGCCAGGACTTTCTGTCATATCCACCTGCTCTTCATTAACTGTCTTCCATTCAAATGACTGAATCAAGGCTCCTAGTGCTAGCCCAACCATCCTTTTTGCTAGGCTAGCCCCGGGACAACCATGTCTTCCACTGCCAAATGGAATCAGCCTATACCCATCTCCAGCACTCTCCGCTTGAAACCTCTCTGGCATGAATTTTGTTGGATTTTCCCATAGCTTGGGGTCTCTATGAATGGCCAATGCATTTACCATTAACGTCGTGCCTTGTGGGACATCATAACCCCCCACTGTACAATCCTCAGATGCTTCATGTGGCAATAGAAGTGGGACGGGTGCATATAATCGAAGTGCTTCATTCACTACATTTGATAGGTAATCTAGCTTGGGCAAATCTTGTTCATCTATGAGGCGATCCTGTCCAACGTGAGCATCAATCTCTTCTTTAACTTTTGTCATTGCATCTGGATGGTTGAGGAGTAGTGACATTGCCCATTCCAAAGTAGTTGATGAAGTCTCAGTCCCAGCAATTAGCAATACCTATCCACACCAGACACCTAGTTAAGAGGTATAACCAACACACACACACACACACACACACAAAAGAAAAAGAAGAAGAAGATGAAAACAGCAATGGAAAATTACTTAATTTTTTTTATTACTACATACAGAGGCAAGCGTACCACTTGTATATTTATGTGAACCTCACTACTACCTTTGTGCTAAGTGTTAAGAAAATATTATGGAAAATCCTTTTGTGTTTTGACATTTCTCAACCACAACCATTAAAAACCATAAACCTATTTTTTGTAGATTATTGCAAAATGAAAGTTGATGATTAAAAAGCATAAGCTAAAGTATTCTTATCCTCCAGTTTTTCAATAATCGATTCTGTTAAAACTTGAGTTTTTTTACCTCATAAATTATGAAGTATAAACTACACCAAACACTCTTAACATAGATTTTCAATGTATATGTGTTATAAGCAGCATCTATAAATTGCATCAAGCAAGGTCAAAGAACTTGTGTTGCAAAAATGACTCACCCTCTCCCAAAAAGAAAACAGTGTAGAAAAGGGTAGATCTTCATATTGGTTAACAAAAGCATGATAAACATAAGAAATTCATAATCATAAGGTTGTGATGGGAAGAAGAAAAAAAAAAAAAAACTGGTAGAGATAGAAAATTAAGTGAAAGAAGTAATTTTATTTATTCAGGTGAGGAAACGAAAAAACAAATATACAGATAAACATTGATGTTGTAGTGATCTGATCTTACCATTATCATCCCATTTATAATGCTGTTGGTATAGAACCCAGGTTCTGTTTCTTGCAAAGACAGCAAATTGTGGATTAGTGTCTTCACTTTTGTTGATGCACTGGTTTTTTTATGCTCATCAACTAGTTTCTGCAAAAACTTGTCCATCCTCTCTGCCGTGGCTATCATTTTCTTCGCCGTCCCAAACAAATCCACCCACTGCAAAACCGGAAAAAGGTCTGCTGGATTTGATTTCTTGACAAGTTCAAAGTGCTCTCTTATCAATTTCTGAAAGAGCTTGGCCTCCCCAACATTGTCCACGCTTTCTCCATAGAACCTCTTCCCCATGATCATCATGGTCATAACATTAAATGAGAGCTCAAAAAACTTGGAATTCAAGTTCACCTTACTATACTCACCACCACCACAATTATTCATGAGTTGATTCACAAAGAACTTCACTTCCTCTCCTCGTATACTAGTTGTCCTCTCTAGGCGAGTAGTTGACAAAATCTCCAAAGTTGTAATACGCCTGAGATTATAACAAAATCTATTAAAATGTTTTTTAATTTTTAAACTGTCACTAACGTCTCATTCTGACAAAATGATTCCATAGGAATATTTTAGAAAGAAAAACATTTTACTTTTGTAAAAGTCATGTCACTTAATAATATTAGGGAAAATTACAAATACACTCTTGATTTGCTTAGAATATAAATTACTCTTATAGTTTGAAAAATTATAAATATCCCTTCATTAGAATTTTTTATTTAACAGAATTAGTTAAAAAAATGAATTTCTTAATTGCTCTCTTATACAATAATAAAATTATCTATATTATTAATTGAAACATATTTTTAATATTATTAAAAATTATTAATTGACTTAATGATTTATTAATAAAAGGGCGATTTGTTATGAAATTAGAAACCTTAGGGGGTGGAATGTAATTTTCAAAATCATAAAAGGTGATTCGTATTTTAATCAAATCTCAGATAGTGTATTTGTAATTTATCCATATTATTTTTATTTTTTGAACGACAAAACACTACAACATATAAGAGTTTTAAAGATCAAATGTTTTGATCTCTAAAAGTAAAAATTTTGTTGTAAAAGACATTTAGGGACCAATTTCTATCATTACGAGGATAGTCGCTAAAAAGTCGTCCCAAAAAGTAAAAAACAAGGCTTTTAATGACAAAATTTTGAAAATGTCACAAATAAATAGACTTTTAGGGACAAAATAATTTGGTTCCAAAATAGTTTATTTTTTGAGACAAAAAATTTGGTTTCAAAAGGATAATAATTCATCACTAATGTCTAATTTTCGTTACTAAAAATATAATAACGCTACTTTTCACAACAAAAATATTGATTATAACAATAAAACATGCCAACCACCAAAACATACCCCAAATGCTTCCCTTGTTTTATCCAACCTTCAACCAAAACACTCAACCATCCATCATCAAGAGAATCCTAAAATGTTATACGTAAACAGATTTTTCTTACCAAATAGAGCTGTGTCAAACAAGAAACCAAAATTTCTTGAGATACCTCAGTTTCTGTGTCTTCAATGTTAAAACTAACACCTTCAAAGTTGGCTTTTATCCATGAGGTTTAATTACGTTCTTGGTCTCAAAAGTATCGGCTTTGTGTTAATTTGGTTATCAATCTATAAAAGTGTTTCAATTTAATCCTCAATATTTAAATTATGTCAATCTAATCCCTAATGTATAAAAAATATTTTAATTTAAACATTGGGAGACTAATAAATTGAAACATTTTTTATACATTGGGGACCATAGTAACATAATTTAAACATTGGCGGGGATTAAAATGACACAAAATTCTTATACTTTGGGAACTAAAAATATAATTAATATCTCTCTCTCTCTCTCTCTCTCTCAAAAAAAAAAAAAAAAAAAAAAAGAAAAAAAAAAAAAGAAAAAAAAAGAAAAAGGCACCTCAACTTTGATACCTTCAGTGACCTCATTCCTGGAGATTTCATTCTCATTAAGAAATACCTCATTCGTTGCTAACCATTAAGACCACCAAACTAACCAACTAGGCCTAGTATAGTTAGTCACCATGCATTCTTTAAGGTTTAGTTTTAAGGAGGTCATGGGTTCAATTCTTCTTGAGAGGGTTGAATTAAGGAAGTGCAAGTACTTAGGTGCTTTGCCAAGAGTAGAGAGATTTTCTCCCGTAGGTGCTAATCTAACCACTAACAATTACCGATCAAAAAAAAAAATAAAATAAAATAAAAACCACCAAACTGCATAAAATAAGGAATCCCAACTTTCTTCTTGAGATCCCTTTACTCCATTCTAGGGCTGCAAATGAACCGAGCTGTTCATGAACAAGCTCGGCTCGTTAAAGACTCAGCTCGGCTCAGCTTGGCGCGTTTAGTAAACAAGCTGACCTCGAGCTCGCATAAGCTTGGCTCATTAAGCTTGGTTCGCTTATCTTTATTTAAATTATATAATAAATATATTATTTACATATTAAATAATATATAAATATATAAAAATAATAATATAAATAATATTTTTTATTTAAATATTTATATTTAAATAATATAAATAATGTTTAAAAAAATTTATCTAGTTGAGTCGAGCCGAGCTTGAACTCAGTTCCTTATCGAGACGAGCTTGAGTTCAATAAACAAGCTCGATAAGTAAACGAGCCGAGTTCGAATTCAGCAAAGCTCAGCTCGACTTGGTTCGTTTGCAGCTCTACTCCATTCCAAACCACCAAGTAGCCAAACTTAAAAGATTACATGGGCTAATTGACCCACCATAATCCCCACAATTTCATAATGAAAAGTTATATGTTCATAGAATTTTTATATAGAAATCATGACAAGAATGACTATGATAGTGTATTTGTGAAATTAGGAAGTAGCGGTGGGTGATTAAAAATGAAATGACCAAAACAAGCCACATCATTTGGTATGAAATTGATGAACAAAGCTATATTTGTAGATCGTTACTCTTTCAGAATCGAATGAATATTTGGCAAAAACTTCCAATTTAAAAGAACAAAATGTCTACTGGTAAAAGCTTCATCAAGAGAAGAAGAAATCCTTATTACAATGTAAACCCTTAAACCACCCAACTGATTTCTCAACACTATACTGCACTTTTCTATTGCCAGAAATTGAATATAAAACTCTTCCAAAAATTCCCCAGATCTCCCCAATTCTTTTATCTTTTTCTAATCATTCCATTAAATTTATATCAAACTAAAAGAGAGGCAGTTTACAACAACCACTGTTGAATCAAAGTATATCCGACCCTTCACTTTTTTTTCATCAAAATTTGTTCAACAATTTAAATGAAAAGTTTGATTTGATCTAAGATAATCAATTTTTTCATCAAGTAAAATCAATATTAACGTGACTTTTGGGCTGGTGAGGCCACCACATGTCATATATTTGGATTCTTTTATCTTTTTCTAATCATTCCATTAAATTTATATCAAACTAAAAGAGAGGCAGTTTACAACAACCACTGTTGAATCAAAGTATATCCGACCCTTCACTTTTTTTTCATCAAAATTTGTTCAACAATTTAAATGAAAAGTTTGATTTGATCTAAAGATAATCAATTTTTTCATCAAGTAAAATCAATATTAACGTGACTTTTGGGCCCGTGAGGCCACCACATGTCATATATTTGGATTATTTGAACTGTTCCTTTTATGTATATTATCTATGAAAAATAATTATCTTGTTTGGTTTCAGTTTTTAGAAAATTTTATTTTTTTTATTTTTCGTATTTTAATATTTTAAGTATTTTTTTTTAATTTTTAGACACATCTAACATAAACACACTTAAAAAGTATTATATTTGTGAAAAAAAAATCTTTAAAAAATACACTAAATATCAAAAAATAAAAACAACAAAAATTTAGTACATTTTTGTATTTTTGTCTATTTATTAATTTTTTAAAATATTTTTTTACAAATATTTTACTATTTAGATACATCTAGGTAAAGTGCATCTAAAAAAGTAAAAAAATTACTTAAAATTTAAAATTTATTCACTAAAAACAAAAAAAAAAAACACGAAAAATAAAAAATTCATTTTTCAAAAAATTGAATTCAGAAAACTAAAACCAAACACACTGATTAATTCAATATTTGATAATCATAAAGTGTGTTTTCATCCAATTATATGAAAAATATATAAAGGTTAAAGTTGGAATTAGGCTTAACCCGAGAACCGAATCGATATGATGAGATTCATTTTTTTTAACACCAAGGATCTTTTAAAGTGTTTTTTTCTTAAAGTTTCTTAAAGTGGTGTATTGTGTGGTTGAGATTTAATGTTGAAAAATTGATGTGACTTGTCATTAAATCTCAACCACACAATGTACCGAAAACTTTAAGAAAAAAAAATTCAAGAGGATCCTTGCTCTTTTTTTTAAACCAAGAATATCGAACCAAAAAAAAAAAAAAAAAAAACAGAACCAACTCAACACATAAAACCTCAACATGAAAATACTAGAGTTGCCGAATAAACCTGAGGTTGCGCCAAAGGTCACCATATGGGGCTGAACCCATACTGGTGTAGTTGCGCCAAAGGTATTTTCCGGAGAGGCTAGGCGGCCGGTTGGCGAATATGATATCATTTTTCGTGAAACATTCTTTGACGGCAGAAGGCGAGGTGACCAGGATGACCTTTCTGGGTCCGAACCGGAGGAGGGCGATTGGGCCATACTTGTCTGAACAAGCTTGAAGAGTTTGGTGCAGTGGCCCTTTCAGTAGATGAAGATGGCCTATGATGGGAAGCCCAGGAGGACTTGGGGGTAAATTCTTGTATCTTTCTTGTTTTTCTGTGAGGAGCTTGAAGAAGAATAGGAGAAGAGAGATTATGATGAGAGGTATGGAGTACCAGTTAGCTTCCATCACTCTCTCTGTATCCAAATTTGTCGGTGTGGTGCCAAGTTTGAGGAGAGAAAATTTGTTACTCATAATTGAGTGAGTGGAGCCTACAGCTCTATTATTTTATTATTACTGAATACTGATAAAAAATGAGTGTTGACATGTTTTATTATTTTTCTATGTTGGAATAATGTCACATGAGAGCTACCAACTCTCCAATTAGTGCAACTAGGTAGAGCAAATGCAATGGAATCCAATGTTTCTAATTTCAAGGTTAAAAACATAGAAGCATATTAAACTACTCTCTGTGTTGCAATAGAGTTGCATTGGTGGCAGCAGCTGTTGCTGGCTTAGCCTCTGTTGAACTCACTGTAATTAATGCCACAATCAAACAGGGCTTCATATTTCTCCTTGGTCATTATATTTACTTCCTACTGTACTTGAAGTCAAGCTCGAATGTGAATCCTTATTTTGCTTCGCAAAACTTGTGATTAACAATGTAAACAATGACAACTGCTTTTAGGAAGTGAGATGATTCTATGTATGATGAACATAACAAATTAGGGCAAAAACATTGTTCCATGAAAAGGAAAAACATCTCTCTCTCTCTCTCTCTCTCTCAAGATGTTAGATTGAAGGAATCAGCAATTCTGTAGAAGTCTGATTTCACCTTTTCAACATTGTTCACAATGCTTGTTAGATAACACTTAAAACAGCAACACTTGAAACAATACTTAAGCTGAACACAAAACACTTGCACCTTTTCAACAGCTGTTGCTAGCTTAGCCTTTTCAGCACTTTTGGACTTTATTTTCTCGGTTAGCTAAGTAATCTGTTAGTTTTGTTTTTGACTAGAAAGTTTACTACTTATTACTTAGCCTAGAGCACCTTAACAAAATATAGAAAGAGCCAGTGGGGATTGGGACAAATCTATAAATTGGTGAGAGAACAGTGGGGAAAGAGAGTGAGTGTGAATGTTTGTTTGAATTTTAATTCCAGCATTTAAATGTTGTAGGTAGGTTGATAGAAAAAATTTCCCCTTGATTGACTGCGCACGGCTTCATAATGAGTTTAGTAGCATTGGAGACTTCTATTAAACTAGTTAAGCAAATTTTGTATTGGTTCTCCAAATTAAAGGGCCAAGTAATATATTATTACTTACTATATAAGCTTATTGGTAGAGGGTTTAATATTTGGCTTTTGCATCAAACAAAAATAATTAATATCTCTTTCAGCCCCTTTGGTCAGAAATGTTGCTTTGTTAATTTGTCAAATGACTCACCAATTAATAGGCCATTTATATATATATATATATATATATTTGATCAGCAAAGAAAATTTCATTAAAAAATATGAAATTAAAGGTACAGAAAGATGATTATCATGGAGAGAGATTCAAGAAGTATCGACTAACCCTACTACTGCTACTCGCAACCATCTAATTAACCCTCAGCTTCACAATTTAACAAAAAAAAAAAAAAAAATAAAAAAAAAAATAGTTAAGAAGAAACTTAACTCCAACACACCAAACCCAGAACCCCTTTCACTCCAAACCACACCCCACTAACAAAGATAAAAACAACACTTCCCCAAACAGGCCAAACACCAACCATTGCTTACCAACACAACCCATAAACCCTCTAATAAAATATTCCCCTTTCAAACCAAACACACCACAACACACGAGTCTGGATTCTCGGCAGTCTTTTCCTGCAGCCCCCAAAACGACGTCGTTTCGGGGGCAAATTTTGAACAGCCGTAGGCAAGGACGACCGAGGATCCGGATTCCACCAAGTAAACCGTTGTGTGTTTAGCAAACTGTTGTCTGGTGTCACTTTAGACCTCGATTTCCATGCTTGCAAAGACTGATTTTTCTGTGGTACATTCTAGATGGGAATCATGATTTTCTTCATCATCTCTTCTTAACTCTTTCTTTATTAGGTTATTGGGCCCATTTTTTAGTCTAATTTTGATAATTCGAATCATTCACATTTTAAGATTTGTTAAGTATATATCATACCTGTAAAAAATTAAATTGATCATATATTAAAAATTAAGTGTTCGAATCATCGAACTAAAAATTTTTTTTTTTTTAAATTTAATAAACAGTTTTCTAAACATATGATTTCTAATATCTGACCAATTTAATTTTTTATAAATATGATATATTCAATAAATTTTAAAACGTGAACAATTCAAATTATCAAAATTAAATTCAAAAATGAATTCGATAATCTAATAAGGGAGGACTTAAGGAGAGAGATAAAAGGAGAAGGTCTTGATCCGCTATATGGACAGTAAAATTGTGCCACGTCATTTTATCTTTTTTATGATTATTAATTGAGTGGAGTGGTCATTATCTCTATCCAATGAAAGACAGTGGAAATTGCAATTTTCTGATGCACAAACAAATGGGAGAAGCCTTTCATTTCAACTACAACGATGTTGATACTTCTACTCCTCCTCTTCACCTTCCTCAGCCCTAGTTTCACCTTTGTCGACTCCTTCAATTTCTCATTCCCTTCCTTCAACTCCGGAAGCTGCACCAATGGCGGCAACTTGATTTGCAGTGTCTCCGCCACTGCAAGCAATGGGACTTTGAACGTGAAGTCGGATCACCAACAACAACAGCCGAGAGATCCACCGCCGATAAACCAGATCGGACGGGTGTTGTATAAATATCCGGTGATCGGATGGCCGGCGTCTATACGCACCACTTTCAGTATTAGGATACTGACTGACTGACCCCAAGGATTTGGTGATGGAATGGCGTTTGTTCTGGTTCAGGATCGTGCACCCTCTCCTCCCAACAGCTTTGGCTGTTTTCTTGGTATCTTTGATCAGTCTACTCAAGGTCTATGTTCTCTTCCCTATCTCTTTTTTTCTTTTCTATTTTTTTTTTTTAGGAAAAGTTTACCAATATTCTAGAAATTTTGTGAAGAAAATTATCAGGCAATGTGTGATTGAGGTTTAATTAATATATTGTGTGGTTTATGTATAAAATGAATTAGGGTGATGCTCTTAGATAATATCCTAAATAAAAATTGAGTATATATTATTTTAAGGGACTTTTGCAACTATTGTTTCTTTCATTCTTCTCTTTTACTTTCCTCTCGTTTTTATATCTTGGGAAATAACAAACACTTATACTATAAACTACGAAATTTTATTCGAATTTTACTAAACATCCATCTATGGTGCTTTTTTAGTTTGTTGCAGGGGTTTTTGCTTTGCTACTTTGCTGTTTGTTTTTTAGTTGGTTTCTCACAAATCTTTGATAGTGTTAGCAAATGATTGGGCATGCATCTCTGTGCTAACATTGTTGGAATTGATTTATTTCGTTATGATACTCTTTGTCCTTATCATTTTTTTTTATTGATGTAATATTTTTTATTTTCATCAAAAAGGTTCTTTCTTTTGCCAATAAAAAAAAAAAAATCCATTTATAGTTTAGATTGATTTATATGATTACCCTACAATTAATTACCCAGAAAATTATCGGTCGCACTATAACGTTTCTGAATAACAAATGCAACTAAGATGTGGAACCTTAAATTGTGACCCTTTTTTTCAAATTTTTCTCACAAAAATTTCATTTTAATCAAATGCTTACAATAAATGTATATGTTTCTTTACTTCACTCTCTTTTAATTTCACTTTTCACAATTTTTTGAAGTTTAAAACCCACAAAAAAAACAAAAACAAAACAAAAAAAAAAACAAAGAAACAGAGTCTAAAAGATTGATCTCAGAGTAATTGATGTGTACAGTTATTATTACAGGTGTAGTTCATCAACTTGCAATAGAGTTCGACACGTACAAGAATGAATTCGACCCGGATGATAACCACATCGCAATTGACACCGTAAGCGTACAAAACCCGGATGCGGTGAAGAGCCTCAACAGCACCGGAATATATCTCAAGACGGGTAGAGAAATAACGGTTCGGGTCGAATATAATGGGTGGACCAAGAATCTTCAGATTTTTGTCGGGTATAATGGGGATCCACTAGTGAGCTTTCTCAATCATACAATGAAGTTGCGGCATACAGTTCCTAGCCCTGTTTACGTGGGCTTCACAGCCGCCACAGGTACCCAATTATTTATACTAAATGCATATTTTTTTTTTTCATTTTCCAAATTCTAATTATTTCATGAAATAGTGTTTTGGAAAATATGATTTTAGATTTCAAAAATCACCACAAGAAATCAGTTTTTTAGAGACAAATTTATTTTGTCCCTAAAAATGGAATATTTATTGGGACAAAAGCCAACAAATTTCCTCCCTCACAGAGTTAGTCCGAAATGGTCCGTATGAAAAAGCCAAAACTTGATTATTAGAGACAAAATTTTACATTGGCCACTATAAATAGATTTTTTGAGACAAAATATATGGTTGTAAAAAGTTTTGGCCTAGCAATTACTCTTCATCAACCGTCTCGGCGTTCATACTTTTTGGCCCAAACATGCTTCCCATTGATCCGAAACTTTGCAATACTACTACCCTTCAAAATGTCATCCACAATCGAAACACCACGAACTACCATTCGAGCAAACAAAGGTTGATCGACCGAGTTAGACTCGTCCATATAAACATTGTCGACACAATCGCCAAAACACCCCATAAAAAGCTCCTTGATTATTTGGGACAAAGTAGAGAAAGGTGGTAAAGTGAATAGGAGTCCGGGTTAAGAGTCAATTTTGAGAAAGTGGTATTGTGTTGGCATTTGCATGGGGAGTTAAGGTGCCTAATTGCCCTATCAACGCTTATCGCCAGACGAATGTGGGAAAATATTTTTGGGTGTCCACTGGTCCCGCCATATTGTAGTTGGCAAAAGTGAAAAAACGGATGATTTTGGATGTCCACGTCCTACAGTATAATAGTCGGCAAATGTGGAAAAACATGATTTTTAGGTGTCTACGCCCTGCTGTATAATAGTCGATAAATGTGGTGATAGTATTACATGAAAGTGACATTACATGAAAGTGACTTATGCGTGTGATTCAAACTCTTGTAAGGGACTCATGGTGTATTTCTCTTTATGATGTTGAGAACGGTTTTGTGTGGGACAAAGATGCACTTTAACTTTTCTTTATTTATCGATGTCAATTATTTTATGTTGTTTTGTTGTGACAGTGCCATGTGCTTCTTCAAATAATTAGATACTTGGCTAAATTTATCTCTACTTGGATATAGGTCAACCCTATCTAATTTTTTAGGAACTGGTGACACACCACTGCAATGATTTGAAGTTGCACTTTTATTTTGCTGGGAAGCTAGGTCTAAGAAATTTGATTGTAGAAGTATGGAAACATTGAAATTTGTTTTATTGAATTGGATGAAAAGTTAAAAAAAAAAAAAAACTTTTGTGTGCCTTAATGGCGAATTTCTTTTGTATAGTCTTCTAGATTATTGAACTTACCTAAGGACACATATTGGGATTAATGTGTATCATGGACTTGTAAATTTTGGATCCTAGTTCAATGATAAAGAGGACTTTATGGTATGCTGCAATGCATGGTTGTGGTTAATTCTTGTGGAAAATTTCAGGGTGTTACAAATTGGTATCAAAACTAATTGGGTTTGAATACCTGGAGCTCGTGGGAAGCGGCTTTAACGCATAGGGCTGTCATGGTAGCAAGGGATGTTAGTTGCTTTGTCTGTTTTATTTGTTTGTATGATTACGTGGGTATGGAGTTGATCTCTTGGGATATGACTTGTGTCTATTGCAGTCATTGAAATCCTTTTGAAAAGGCACCTGGTCACTACTTTTTCCACTAGGAGGTCCTTGAGTGCCATGGGACTAGTCGGAAACTTGAGAGAGTAACTCGTGTGTGTCTTATGTGTTTATATGACAGTGTGGTGTGCTTTTTGTGAAATAGACATCTGTATAGGCACGTGTCTGATTCGTGTGCGACGTGTGGGATAACATATAGTGTATGGATTGTGAGATAAATCTTTTCTTCTTACCTTTATATAGGATGTTTGGACGCGGTAGGGGTCATGGTAGGCCACGTAGGGGTAGCCGGGAGATGCCAGCTCAACAAGATCTACATCCCTAAGAAGAAGGGGTGTGACAAAATGATGCGGCCATTCCACCGGCCTAAGATGCAATGGGGGCCTTGGCCAGGGAGATGGTAGGAGCTCTCTGAGAGTCCATGAAGATGCTTAGAGTCGAGCAACTGGCTAGGCCAGTTGAAGGAGAAATTAGAGCTTCCTTTTTGAAAAATGAGATCTTTCATTCGAATCTCACCGAGTTCAGCGGTGGACCCAATCCAATGAAAACAGACGAGTGGTTGGAACAAATTATAAAATCCTTTGAGATCTTGAATATTCATGAGGATGAGTTGCGGGTAGCATTCGTGGCTTATCAACTGAAAGAAGAGGTCGGGCAATGATATAAATATGTCAAGAATATAGTTGAGCATACTTTGGAGGCTTTCATGCATGCATTCAAATAAAAGTTTCTCCCTCGCACTGCTAAGCAGTGACTGAGGAAACAATTTGAGGATTTAAGGCAACTTGATACACCTCTGGCCGAGTTTGAAGCCATATTCACAAGTTTATCTCGTTTACACCTGAGCTGGTAGCAACTAAAGAACATCAATGCTTAGAATTTAAGAAGAGGTTGCGGCTAAAAATTTTAATGAAAGTAATGGGCAACATGATTCATGATTTTGACCACTTAGTAAAAGCTGCAGCCCATGTGGAAATCATGGTGGAGGCAGAAGAAGTGATACAGAAATGAAAAAGGATAAGACATTTTGAATCCCGGGGCGAGTCGGGGTCCTCTAAGAAGTCTAAGGGTTCATTATCATCATTTTAGCCACTCTCACAACAAGACAAATCTTTTGACTCTGTGTTGGGTGGAAGTTTAGGGAGCACGGATCGAATTCGTAGAGCATGTTATAAATGTGGCCAGTTGGGTAACAAAGCTTCGAAGTGTGGACAAAAAGGTGGACCATAGTCTCAAGCTGCTCGTTTTCAGAGTCAATCACAAATAGGAATGACAATTTGAACTCGGCCCGATGAGGACTCAGACCGCCTCGTCCCGATAAGCTGAGTTTTCTCCAAAAATTATCCCCTATAGGGCTGAGGCTGGTATTGAAAAATAGATCCCCGATGGTTTTCTGGTTGGAGACAAGGATAGATTCCCCCAGCCCGGCCCCACCCCGATTAATCCTCAAACAGCCCCGTATATATATATATATATATATCTATTCAATTCACTTTGATTATATGAACCCATCTCTCTCTCTCTCTCCCCTTATGACTCTATCTTTTCTCTCTTACAAACCCATTTCTCTTCGTCTCCTCTCTCTCTCTAACTCTCATGATCTATGGTGTAGTCACTCTCTCTCTCTCTCTCTTCCCTTTACTCTCTCTCACTCTCTTTCTTCCACATCCGAAGTCGTCGCATTCCTCCGACACCTTTGCCTCCTCTGACACCACTACCACTGTGCTATCCCTAGCCGTTGTCCCTCTCTAGATCTTCACTGCTACAGATTTACTTCAGGAAATCCAGATCTAGTCTCTCTCTCTCTCTCTCTCTCTCTGTGTGTGTGTCCTTGTGTGTATATATATATATATCTATATATTTGTGTGTGTTTTATAGCTTCAGCTTTTGATTTTGGTTTTGATTTTACAACTTCGGCTTCTGATTTTGATTTTGTTTAGGGTTTTAAGTTGGTTGTGATTGTGTTGTTAGATCTGCAACTGGAGTTGATTTTTTTTGGGGGGGGCAAGGAAATTTTCGAGGTCAGGAAAACCTAATCCCCGTTAGGAGACGGGGATGGGAACGGGGACGGGGACGACGATAGGTTCCTCGTCAAGGATCGGGGCCGAGGTTGGGGGAATTTTTGCTATCGGGGATCAGGGATAGGGAGTGTGATCCCTGGCCCCGCCCCAGCCCGTTGCTATCTTTAATCACAGAATAGGGGCCAGTCATCATCTTACTATCAGTGTGGTCAATTGGGGCATCTGAAGAAGTTTTGTCCACAGAGAGCATGGTCCACAAATGTGACCGGATCTCGCCAATCTGGAGGTTTTCAGATGGGCCAAGGATAGAGACAGTCTTATCAATCAACCCAGTCAGGCTAGGCATCCAGGGCGGTACATGGAGCCACATCTGCACAGTCAGCACAGCAGATTTATGTTCAAAAAGATAATATAGAAGAGCAGAGATCACAGGGAAATATGTATGCCATCACTGCATCGGAGTAGTCTTTAGGACCGTCTGTTGTGAGAGGTACTTATCTAATCTTTAATACCGGGGCTAGTGTGTTGATAGATACCGGGGTGTCCCATTCATTTATAGTAATTGCATTTTCATCTTTGTTGGGATTAGGAAGCGAATAGCTAGAGTCTTCACTTATGGAGGAATCAGCTGTTGGGAGTAAAGTTGTCTTGAACCAAGGATGTTGTGGTTGTATCATTGAGGAAGCTAGTCGACAACTTCTTTTCAGTTTTGTATTGTTAGATATATCGAGTTTTGATGTTATTATTGGCATGGACTGGTTGTTTTAGTACCGACTATTATTGATTATTATTGTGGGAGAGTTACGGTGTGTACGTCAAGCGGTGATTATTTTACATTTTTAGGGGATAGGAGTGATAGTTTCCTACTCTCATTGTATTACCCTAGTGGTTGGGGTGAATTTAGATCACTCTTGGCAGCCTTTTTAGATGATGGAAGTGATAACGTTCAGGATAGGTTTCCGAGGATAGTTTGCGAGTATCCTGATGTTTTTCTCAAATATCTTACCGAGTTACCCTCTCATCGGGAGGTTGAATTCTTTATAGATTTGATACCAGGTACAACACCTATTTCCTTGTCGCCTTATAAATTTGCTCGAGCTGAATTGGTTGTTTTGAAGGAACAGTTGCAGGAGTTGCTAGGTAAGGGCTTTATACGCCCTAGTACCTCACCTTGGGGAGCTTCAGCCTTGTTTGCCAAGAAGAAAGATGGGTCATTGAGATTATGCATAGACTATCGCAAATTGAATCAAGCAACAGTTAAGAATAAGTATCCCTTACCTAGAATAGATGATCTTTTTGACCAACTCAGAGGTTCACTTTGCTTTTCAAAGATAGATTTGAGGTCGGGTTATCATCAGATACACGTTAGGGAGGACGATATTCCCAAAATGGCTTTTGTACCAGATATGGTCACTATGAGTTCTTGGTTATGCCATTTGGTTTAACTAACGCACCAGCTACATTTATGGACCTGATGAACCGAATCTTTTGTGAACTTCTTGATAAATTTGTTGCCGTTTTTGTGGACGACATTCTTGTCTATTCGTCTTCGAAAGAGGAGCATGAAGGCCACCTCCGTAGTGTTCTACAAATCCTTAGAGAACATCGCTTGTATGCAAAATATGAGAAGTGTGAGTTTTGGCTTTTAGAGGTGAAGTTCTTAGGCCATGTAGTCTCCGGAGATGGGGTTATGGTGGATTCTTCAAAGATAGAAGCAATA